TTAACATTTAAATCTTATTTTAACTACCTCTGTTTCCACTTAATCTCAGTAATCTGCCATTAAAAACTCATTAAATTTCCGCAGCTGTAATTGATTAACAGCCCGAAAGTATGCCGCACTTGGCGAGGCAGTCAACCTGAGCTTTGATTGCTCGGTCGAGAGATTTTTCAGCTATTTTCCACTGATTTTCCAACGAAACGCGACCAGAGGAAGATGGAGATGAACGAGGGGAGACTGAGACGTGGTCTGGCACCTGGTCGCGCCGTCACGTCACGCAGTTTCTGCCTCGCATCTCACAGCTTGTAGCCCGCGAAAATCTAACAAATTAACTTTGACTTTCATTTGCATTTCGCAGACGAGCACACACTCTGCACAGCTCACTTGGCAAAGTGGGCAAACACACTGCAGGGAAAATGTGGAAAAAAATGAAAACGAAAACCGAAAGAAAAACAAAGCCAAAGCCAAAGCCACAGCCAAAACAGCAGCTGAAGAGGATGAGGCAGTGGCCACAAACTATAATTATGTGTGTGGCATTTGCATAGGCCCAAGCACGGAGCCCCCCGGTTAATTGCACTTGCTCATTACACAAATTTGCCAACTTAATTACGAGGAGGCTCAGCCAGCTAGACAATGGGCCAGGAAACTGCCTAACTGCCCCTTGGGCTCTACCCCGAAGCTCTAACTCGAAACTCAAGCTCAAACTGAAGCTCAATCTCGCAGCAAACTGCGAAATTCTCGGATGTATCTAAGGCCGTACATGGAGCAAAAACGGGAGCAATATCTTTAATAATAATGGAAATTCATGAACCTAAAATATTATAAGGTTAGACTTTATTTGAACCATAAAACTGTAGTAACTGCAGTAATTTCTAATGCCCAATTTGTTGGCTATTTTTCTCGCAGTGCAAAGCCACTTGTTACCGACACTTCAGCACTATTTTTATTCCCATTCCCAATGGCAAGTCAGCGGCGGCGGGTGTCGTCAGGCGTCGTTGCAAAACGGCCAAGTGGCATAATGGCCAAGCCAAAGAGCCAGAGAGCTGGACAAATTGAAAAGGAAAGCAGCAGCAGTGCCCCTGACCGGAAAGCTGGCACAACTCGAGAAAGAAAAGCAAACAAAAGTGCATGCTCATCGGACATTACACGATGCAAAATCGCCGTTAAGTTACCTCACTTCACAGTTTATTTGTCATTAGTTTCCATGACCAGGCTTTGACTTTGCACAGAAAATATACAATATACAAATTTGGAGCCCCTCTGAAGGTCATCTTTAGGTGCGGAAAACGCTTAAACTTAAGACTTTGAAGTGCATTTAAAACACTCGAGTTGCAATCGAAATCGGGGATGCATGCAAATTTCGGTTTTTTGTTTAAACAAATTTGCCACACTTTCGTTTTCTCACTGATCGTTTGGATTTTCCAGCTCTTCTATTGAGGATCTTAATTGAAAAAGTTGAGAAAATGGAATATTTGTTTATTTATGGCTGCTAAGATGGATGTATCTTGTGTGTGTTTACAAACACATGTTGAGTATGTTGAGTAATCACATAAATAGTTTACATAACATTTGTTGGAGTGAAATGCAGTGTCCACAATTTGCTGGCTTCATGCGTTGCAATGGCCAAAGGCTAAAGACAAGTTTTACTCTGGTGGGCGTGACTCTGATAAGGAAATGAATTGGCAAATAAGAGCTACACTTTTACCATATATATATACATATTTCCAGAGATACTCACTAGAGTCTGGGGAGGTAGTTCTAATTTATTAGACACTGACATGATAAGATAAAAAAAAGCTGAGTTTGGGAAAAATTCAAAATAAATTAAAGGAGTTACAGTAAAAGTGGTAAACAAGTTAAATTTTGGGAGAAATAAGAATGCTTCGAGAGGAAAAATCCGATATCCTAAGTCGAATAAGTATCGTAATCCATTCCATTTAAAAGATATCGTAGCACTTAACGCTATTAATATTACTATTAAAATACTTTTATTCACTTGATGTAATATTTATTTTATTGAATATTGGTTTCTGTTTCGATTATATTGATCTGACAGCATAATATTGTCAAAAATATTGAATTTATCGTTAAATATCGATATAATCGATAAACATCAGAATATTTAAATTAATTTATTTTGTTTTAATGTTTATTTTATTTCATATATTTTTCAATTCCAGTTATATTGGTTCAACTATTTCGTATTAATATATTGATATTTTCTGCAAAAATCAAAGACCAAAGCTTAAAGCTTGTGAAAATAAATTGTTTTTCTAGTATATACATTTCACAATTAATAGAATTCACAAGTAAAAACAGAAGGCTGAGCATTTATTCAATTTGTCTTCCAAGCACAAATCTTTGTTCTATGCCCCGCTTCACCCATTCCCCAATATTAACTCATCAATTTGAAATTCAATATAATCGCTCTTGAGTAAAGTTCCCATTCCTTTGTATTTTCGGAGGCCTATTTAATCGCATCCCATTCTATTTGATTGGGCTCTTGAGCATCGGCCCTCCTGTTTATACAGTCCCGGCTTTCGCTCCATTTGACAAATGCGAACTTTGAACCCGAAAGCGTCACCCTCCCACACCTCCTTACCAATCAATCTGGGTATGATAGATGGAAATCGATGGGAATCAATAGGTGGGAGGGGTCAGCGGAAAGTGTGATAAGAACGGTTCTAGAACGACGATGATGTGATGTAGTGATAATAGCGATGACGCAGCGATTGCTGATTCAGATATTCTGATTCTGTTGTTGATTTATAGCCTGTTATTTTTTTGTTTTTGCTTTGCTTTAATCGGATTACATACTGCTGATCCGAACCCAAATCGGTGGGGGATCTTCGTTCTTCATGAAACATGAAAACAAACTTTTGAAATATTTTATTTTTTTTTCGTTCACTGTTGAGTTTGAGGTTTTTATTTTCTGTCCGCGTTGCCACAACTTGTGGCTGCTGGCGAAGTTGGCGACTGAGCCCAAGTCTCTGTACGGATTTCATATCGCCGGAGTTCACCAGATGTGTCTCGGCGAACAAAAAAAAAAAACAACAGCAAAACCGTGGAAAAGTCATAGATTTTATGTGAGTAGGGGGGACGAGTTCGTGCCCAAGGTCAAGGAGCGCAACTGCGAAATGGCTCTCTCAGCAGGAAACTCTCTCTCTATGTCTCTGTTTTTCACAGCATCATTTCTCTTAAAGTTTGAAATGCATTGGATTTATGTTGCGATTATATATGTACATATATATTTGAATAATAGAAACAAGAAAACACGTTTACTTTACAAAATGTTACCATTATTTTATGCTATTTCTAACATGAATAAAATATAAATGATACTATTTAGGTAATGGGATCTTTCAAGGTCAGATATTTTCTTAAGATTTGACCATTTATTTTATTTATTTAAAAAACTAATAAAATTAAAGTTTTTTTATAGACTGTCTCAAAAAAAAAAATTATTTAAATTTATAATTTCTTGACAATACAAAAGCACACAAATACAACGAATATTAATATTAACAATTTTAAAAAACTATATCAAAACTATAATTACATTTAAACTAACTTTTACATAATAGTAGTTTCCTCTCAATTCACAATAAACTTATATTTACCAAAGTACCAAAATGTAAATAATATTTTTCGTTAATAAAACATTAATGAAATCAAATTAAATGTTAAATATGGTAAATGGAAATAGTTTGACAATGAAATGAATGTTTTGTTTACATATCAAACAAAAATGAAATCCAAATTTGACTTTATATTTTATGCCTAAACACCATTAGTGCACCTTAGCGACTTGTTTTATGCTTTGAATTCAGGTTCCAAGTCGTAATTAACTACTAAATAACTTTTAAATGAAATCCTTAGCTCCAGAAACTTGATAAGAATCCAGTTTCTAATATTACATCATGGATATCACAAGAATGTGCCAACACTCCTGCTATCGATGGATTTTATGGTAAAAAACGTGAATGAAACCAAGGCAATAAAAATGTTGCGGTCTACAAATGTTGCCAGGACCTTTCACTCTCTCTGTCTCTCTCTCTCTGCGCAATCGCCTACAGAAACCAAAAGTGAATCCAACAGATATATGTATATGGCTATGGAGAGTGAGAGAGCCTGACCTAGTCAACGAAATTGTCAGGAGTCCGTCACCGAATAACCAAATAAGGCAAAAAGGAGCCAACTTCCTTCCGCTCTCCAACAGCAGAATCCTTGTGCCTTTTGCTGGCGAGCGGCCAATTTGTTGGAAATTTTCCGCACAACATGTTCGGCCATTTCCACCTACCTTTCCCTGAAATTGGCCAAGAAAGGCGCCCGGCACACGAACGAAGGCCAAGTTATGGGTTTGGCCAATAAATTGAGGCATCAAAAGAGCTGAGGACACCACAAGGTTAGCTCTGCTCATCTGAATAGTTTTTAAATATGGGTTAATCAGTCCGATTTATACGGTTTGAATTACACCCAGCCGCCTCAAGGTCGATCTCCGCCGAAGGTCTCTTCAAACAATGAAGGCAAAAATGTTATTGTAATCAGAATAAAACCCCAAAACGAAGCTCACATTACCATAACAACAGAGGGCGAGAGAGAGAGAGACGTCGCCCAGGTGCGAAAAATGGGCTCTATATATTCGTACATTTTACATTTTAATGCTGCACGTGCAGCGGTCTTTGTGGTGACTTTTGAAGGGTTCCATCCTCGCATAAACATAAATTTGCTTAATGCCAACAAACGAGACACCGAGACAGTCATCTACTCTGGCCTGAGTCTTAAGAAAGCCATAAAAATGGCTGGCAATTGCTCCTCAGGGGTGGCCTAATTTTCTAATTTAAGAATTTAATCCCCAAGAAATACCTTGAATTTTCCTACATTAGGAAATAACCAGCAGAAAATCAAAGCGAGATCAAAGCAAATTATGATTATTACTCGCTGTTCCTTAGATAAATATTTCCAAATCCCAGGAAGCCATTCCGTTCTATTGCCCAACTCACCTGATCTCGCTGAAGTGGTTTCTCTGTGGGCTTTTTTGAAAGATTTTTCAATGACTTTCCGTCTTTCGATTTTGTTTGGGTCGTTTAAATTGTCGTTACATTGTTCGAACGCCTCTGAGTTGGTGATCTAAAAGAAGGCAGAGAATAAACACATAGAGTTAATTGTATTTCCAAGTGGAGTGATGCAATCGAGTACCGAGGGAATCCCAAGGTTGGTGGCCACATGTGTGGGGCATCTGTGGCTCCCCAAGTTCTGTATGCTATTTATGAACTCGTCAAGTTCATGTTCCCCAAAAAAAACACACATTGATCCAAATCCAAGAGATAAATCTTGGCTAACAGACAAAATAAACACCTTTAAACAACAATATCCACAGCTGTGATCAACTTTCCGGTAGATGTTTAAATACAATTTGGTGTTATAAATGATCTTACAAGGTTATTAAGGGGTCTTAATGTCAAAATGCGATGATATTAGGCTGCATTTTAAGACATTTCAGATTTAAGATGTTGAAACATTTCCAATAAGATTCAACAATTGTTATTATATTTTTCACTGTACTCTTAAGTCTCCCTTCCCATTAGAATCAATCAACACATTAGGCGGTCAATGACCCAAAAGGCGAGCATGAACTCTGGGCTGGCAGCTGGGGCGAGTCCTGGATTTCCCAGCTCATTGGCGACGACTGATAAGGACGAAAGTCGGGCGTTAATCTTGATTATACCCGGGCAATACAATGGCTCAGGACTAAAGACCCGGTCGCATTACGTAAGGCCTGAATGCCGAAAACAGTCTTCATTTTGTCACGTTCCATGCTGCCAAGCCCGTGGAAAAGGAATTTCCACATTGGGCTAGGCCCTCTCGTATCCTTCGTGGCGTGGCCCCCGATCCCGGTACCGCCGCCGCCTTAACCCCTTTGAATTTGCATATCCATATCGCATATCATGCGGCGTATTGAAAGCCGGTGTCCCATTTTAAGTATACGGCTTTGTAGCCATCTCCTCCTGCCCCCCGTCGCGGATGTGTGCGTGTTTCCAGCTGATTTGCATGGAAATGGCCCCAGAAAAGCCAAGGGAGCAGGACCGAGGAGGTCACACATTTTTGTGTGCGAAAGTAAAACTCGCCTGCAGCGAGTCTGCAATTAAATAACGTCGAAATAAGTGAGTTACGCCATTGGCAAAGGACATTTTGCACAGAATACCAAAACATGATATTAAATTCCATATAAAATTCAAATAACTGTAATTCGGAATGTAATTACAAGTTGTTTACTGTATATTTAAATGTGTTCATATTTTGTTGTTTAAATTACTTTTGGTTGTCTGGCACTTCTTTGGAAAGTCATAAATAGTAAGTTCACAGTAAATATAACTATTATATCATCCAATGATGGAATAACATGAAAATTTAAACAAAATCATATACAAATGTATGTATATAGATTAATTAGAACTCAACTTTATAGCAAGAACGGAAGCCAACTTCTGGAAACCAAAGTTTGCATATCCTCGCAGTTTGGATCATTAAAAATAGATCCAGCTTCCTCTTCTACCAGTTCTTATAATTGGTCTCGACACTTCTTTCACAGGCCAGTCTCAGAAATGGATGACTGACTAAGATATTCTCCGTCCACTTCTCTAGAAGTGCCCCCAAAGGACAGATCTCTGTCCACAAATATGTTTTCGGGCATTTTGAAAACGAATTTAATTTGAATTATCAAGTTTCAGCTGCTTAGTTTTTTTTCGATTTGGTGGTGGAGCTTGTTCGATAGTCCGAGTATCGAGTGAAATCAAACAAATCTGTTGTTATCGATATTAACGCAACTTGAACGTAACTAGGACGCAACTTTTTCCCAGCGCTAGGCCCCTTTGCTAAGCCTATGTAAAAAAAAAATCTAGGTTTGCTGAGTTAACGATTGCGCAGCCTGGTTTAAATAGGTCTTTAAATTCACTGCATCACGTGTTTTCTATGGCTGGACATATGCATGTATATAGTAGTGAGAATAGTCAGAAGGCTATTGTCAAAGTTTCAGTTCAAATATGTAGCTAAAAACTGTATAAACTTATCGATATATAACTTACGTTAGTGTGAAAGGGATATAAATGACTCAATAACAACGATAAGTCGAAGAATACGACTCTGTGTCGGCCATGTGCTAATGAAATACAATAAAAAGCTGGAAAGTTCTTACAACTGAAGAAAACTAAAACTCAAAATTAAAGATTTCTCAGGCGACGAAGTTGGAAGTCAAGTAAGCGCTAGCCAATGCAGTTGAATTAATAATTAATATTTTAATATATAATAGATAATAATGGATCCAGAAGTAGCTGAAAAACTTAATTCGGATGAGGTTGAGGTTAAGGAGAACATTGCAGGAAAGACCGAAGAGCCTTCGGGAGATGCACCCAAATCGGAAGGCCAGAAGAACTTAACCGAAATGACAATAAGCGACATGGTACAGACCTCGACTTCGGGAAAGAATATCCAGAACACCAAGGATGAGGATGCAAATCCTTTGGCTCAAAAAGCCAACAAGAAAGCAGCCTATGCAGCAATTCCCAGTGTTTTGAAGCGGGCTCGCGCTTTTTACAAGAGCATTCCTGGTCAAGAGAATGGAGAGGGTCCCAATAAGAAACTCAAGACAGACGTCAAGGACCCAGCAGTCGACCTTAAGCAATACGTTAAAAAATTGGTTGATAAGAAACTCAAGCTGATGCCAAAGCCAGTTGTTGAAATAGAGTTTATAGAAAGCACCCGTCGTATGTTCGGTACCATGTCCCGTCGTGAACTTGAGGATTTGGTAGTGGAAAAGGTGGTCGCGGTAAAGAAGGCCAACTCTGAGTCCACGTACATACTCTCACAGTTGGTTCAGAGCGAGACAACACTGGTCACCTATCAGCGTAAGATCGCCGAGGTGTCCAAGCACTTTCAGGAATTGGAGAAAATGGGAAGCCAGAAATTGCACGTCACCGCTCCGGGGCGTACAACTCAGGCTGCCGGACAAAAGGCTACCGTACCCGTAAACGATCAGTCGCAGGCTGCGGGCAGTATGTTGCCGTCATCCAGTGGAATCCGTTCCAGGGCCATATCCATCCGCGCCGCCGGAAGCAACGTTGGCCCACAACAACACTACAGATCTGAGTGAGTACAAAAAATGCAGAAGGCAGCCAACAATCCAACTAATATCTTTTCCGCAGGGAACGCAGGGCCGGCTAAGGCCCCTGTCCTGGAGAACGCTCTTCCGGGCCAGGCCGCAAATAATCCCGTGAAGGAGACTCACCAGCCGGAAGGAAGTTCTAACCAATGAAGGTGGGTTTGAATCCCTAAACACGAGCGTATATCTAATAAGTAAATATATATATAATCTACTCTGCAGATGAGGAATATTGCGTGGACTATAATCGTGCTCCACAGAACTCTTGTTTCCATCATCTTCAATTAAAAGCCGAGTGCCGTTGATTTCTTAAAACAAAAACATTAAAGCACGACTGCACATTACTCAACAAACTAACTGATTTTGTCCTTTTTGCTTAATGTGAGGAAATATCAGGCAGATATATTTATAAATATTTTATTTGAAAATCAGTTTCACTTTTTGTGACGGAAATGGTTTCGCCCGAAACGCTAGGCACTTTACCATTTCCGATTCCAATCGCATTTTTAAACTAAAATGGCTTTTGATGTTCAGAGAAATTGAGAGACCAAACCTATCATGCTCGTCAATCGCCGAAAAAGAGGTATATAAAAATGTAGCATGGTCTGGTTTCTACGCAGTTCCAGCCAAGATCAAGCCCTCGAGCAGCTGCCCACCACTGCACTCAAGATGCGTTGTGTATGCAAATTTCGCCTTGGTCGTGTTCCGTGATCCGGCCAGTGGCTTAGAACGAGCCACGTTAACTTTCACTGCCCACACATGGCCCAAGGGCCCTATAGGGTTATCTAATTGGATTGCCAAGGGACCAGCAAAGATTAATTGCAGGGGGAGATCTCTTCGAGATGGGCACTCACAATGGACACCCGAAACAATGATGAAAAGTAAAAGTTTGTGTTCGGGGCAATCGAACAATGCAGCGAATGATGAATCCATGAATAAATTTTACCATCTTGAATTCTAAACGGGTTTTGGCCGCTTTTATCGCTCAGTGTTGTTGTCATTAATTTTATGCACTCAAATTGGTTTGCTTTTTCCCCTCCGATTTTGTTTCTATAAAACTTAATTGAATTTCGTTTGTCATTTCGCTTTGCTGTTTCGTTTTCTCCAAATTAGTTTCGTTTGCCATAGAAAAATATCATTTGTGTGTCTAATTTTTGAATATATAGTACACATATTCTCGTATGAAATGGCAAGTGCGGCGAGTTCTGGTCTGGAAAAAGTATTTGAGGAATGCAGAAAGGCGGGAGCCACAAATGCACTCACTCATCGCGATAAAACAAACAAATTTGTGCGCCAAAAATAAATAAAAGTGCGGATGAGAAAGGAAAACTGTGCGGCAGCCATAAATATATCCATAGAGTCCCGAATGTACAGGCCAAATTATTGTCTGCCACACAATTAGGAGAGATACTTCTTTGGGTTTATGTTTTTGAACGGGTGCATGGACTTTTCACCTAAAAATAACATATTTCTAATTGCAAATAGTTTAATGATAACTAAACCTAAGGCACTCAAATTATTGTTTAACATTTTGTGAAGTTTACAAATGATTCTTGCTAATTAAAAGCAGATATAACACGTTTATAAATATATTTTTGAGGAGCATTGAGTGTTGAAGTTTGAAGTCTTCTTGAGTTTTTCTTTTTCCTTTTTCTTAAAGCTAAAATAATAATAAAAAATATTTCCTTTAAGAGTATTTCGTACATAATTTTTCCGCAGAAAAAGTGTCCTGTCTTTCCCCAATTTAACAACTTATTCCGGTGTCTTATGGCTCACTTTCTCGTTCACTTCTTCCCACTTGCCGGCGGTTGCGCCAAATAGGTCAGTTTAGACGCAGTCAGAGGGTCACTGAACTCTCTTTCTCTATATACATATATGTATATATTGTATTTATGGAAAATTTGTCACATAATCGAGACAGAATTCGCCTCAAGTCGCGGGTAATGCAACACTTCAATGCCACACCGAGTTGGCAAAGTGGAATGAATAATAATAATAAAAGTAAAACCGAAAAGCACCGAACAAGAAACCGAAAACTGGAAAACTGAAAACCACAAGACCTCACAAAAGGCAGCACAGAGCAACAATAACAGGGAACTTAATAATAGCACATCAAGTTGACGGTACTAGCCTAAGCCAGGGCTTTTATTACTCAGCAGAAATGCTTCAGTGTTTTGAATAAAAGTTATGAAATTTCAACGAAGGCAGTTGTTTAGTTTGAGAATTAAGATCTAGGAAATCATCATAAAATTATTCCTTTTTATTCCTCCAAGACTTTCAAGTATGTTTCGAAAAATCGAATTTATTATCGATGTGGCATAAAAATTAACATTTTCAACTTTTCCACTCAGTTTCTGTTTGTTGTTTTCTCCCTGTTTCTTTCGATTGGTTGGCTATTCGTTCCCCTTTTTCTCTCTCTTAAGAATTAAGACCCAAACGAACCGAACATAACTTCAGGCACTTCAGCGGGGGTCCGGCATAAATTGCCAAAGAGTTTGTTGTTTTGTTCAATAAAACCAGCCTCACGTTTGCTCCGATCTTTCCCCCTTTTCCCAGTATATAGCTCGGATCAGCCGCGGCCAGATTCCACACTTCATTTCACCAACTCCCCTCCCGAGTCGAAAACTCGTTTCTGTTAATTGTTGCGTTAATTCTATATTCTCTTGGATCAGAAACAAAAAATAATAAAAAGTTGTAACAAGTACGTTCTCCCTCCACACACCTCTCACTCGCTCTTGCCACACTTAATATGCTCTAATTGTGTTGAAAATATGATCTTGGGTTGGTTTCCAAGTTGGTTAGCCGGGGCAATAAACAATAATCATAAATAAATAAAATACAAAAATCATACACATTTTCTTAATAGCTTTTGATTAATTTGCGACATTTTGTAATCAAATTTAATGACTCATTAACCATTTAGGGTAGTTAGAATTCGGCATTTAATAAATTTCCAAAATAAATAAACCAGAGTGACTCAATGTCCATTTAAGGCTTTGAATTTTGTGATAATTTAATTATGAACAAACTCCAAAAAGCAGCTCTATAAATAATAACTAAACTCCTTGAACTACCCACGATCTGAGACCAGTTAGTCATAGTTTACCTGGCCGTTAGTCACTCACCTGAACCGCACATTAAGATTGCAGCGGGCTATAAACAAAGGAGAACTTCGCGAGAGCTCGCTCAGGGGCATGATCCATCGATCCCTGCTCAGGCCCGAGTCAGAGCCGATGAGCCATCAAATAGAGCATCGTAAACCTCAAAATCGAATGCAACGAGTCCGGTCTTCGCTTTCCTCCCCGGACCCCCTGGATTTCCCTGATTTTCTCGGATTTCCATCGACTCTACAGCAAGTCAATGGGGCATGAACATGAGTAGCGGAAACGGCCGAACCGACACAAATTTTATTGTGGCCTCAAACGAATCGGATATCGACCGAAGTCGGGTTCCCAAGAAGGGTCCCTGCTGTCCCGTGAAGGAACCTGCTATTGTCCAGAGGCCACCGACCTTGGCGGAAGTTTGATGTTTCAATTGTATGTGGGTTTTTGGGATAACTTACAATACTATAGTCTCCTAAAGGTGTCCTGCTGGGAGTACGTAGTGGGAATCTCTTTAGTATACGATGGTAAAGATATGGTAATTGTGGTTTATGAACAAAGTTGAAGCATGGAAGTAGCTATCATCCTTTTAATACCCATTTAATATAGATTTCCTTACTTATTTACTCTAACGAAAACGAATTAAAATAACTATAAATTACAGCTTTTAATGAATAAGACCAAAAGTTTTTATTTATTCGAAGTATAATAGCATGTAGCCCGGTTTTCCTTTCCCAAACTGCGCATGAATACCTATTTATTTTAGTAGAAACCTTTATTAGTGTCTTCACATGGTTAAACACAATTAATAAAATAGCATTACTTGCCAGCTCTTTTAAAGAGAATATTAATATCCAAAAGTAAACTTTTTATGAGGTAATTGTAATAATAACGTCTAGAAATAATTGAAAATGGTTTAAATTAGTGATGACTAAGCCTTTACCTTCATATATTCCCAGCTACCTCTATATTTCGGCTTACTCGAAGACTAGCCTATATCCGATAGTTAATTATTTTTGCATGCTAAAAATGCAGCTAGCCGGCAAACAAGGAAAAGGCAATACCTCTCTACGCTTGCATTGCCATTTAGTGGGTTAGGGAAAAGCTGAAAATCAGAAAATCAGCAAACAGGAGAAGGGAAAAGTGAGTGAGAGGGAAATGGAAATGGGCTGGAAACACGGCAAATGCTTAGCTAAGCCTGAACGCTCGAGTAATTTGCAAGCATTTTGCTGAAACTGAAATGAAATTCAATTGCGAAATTAAATTTCATTGGATTTAATTGTTGCTGTGATCGGATCAAACAAACAATCGAGCAAACAGGCCGAAGGCAAATCAAACGCGTCTAATCAAACCGGCGGAGCGTGAAATCCGCCAAATGACTTCTGAAAGCACATTCCTTCTCCGATGGGATCGGGTTTCGATTCGTTCTACTGTAGTGTGTGTTTTTCGAAACCGCGGCGGGTGTGGCCTGCTCCGGATGCTGTCCGCGATAAGGGAGCAGATCCAGCGACAAACTGGGGAGTAACCACCACACCAAGATCCATTCAAAGTGGTTCCTATATATGTAGTATACATTGTTGAAAAGTACATAGCCCTGGGCTTATCGGTTCTGGGTCAATGCATTTATGTCTCAAAAGTCTCCCTCTTGGTGGCTTCCTTTAAGTTCAAAGCTGATAAAACGCCAAAAGGGAAAGTTGTAATTATTTATTCATTTCATAGGAATTAATAATTTATCTAACGTAATTTATTGACCCTTGAGAGCTCAAGAGATCGTTAGCAGAGGAACAAACAAAGAGCTGAAAGCGATGGAGATCTTCGCTTAAATTCCAGCTAATGTTTCAGGTTCAAATAATTAATGTGTTGAATACCTATTTGGAATGACTACAATTATAGTATTATAATTTATCTTTTCGGAAAGAACGTGTTTAGTAAAAGCAGCACTTTTAAACAGTTTATCTAAAAAACAATATTATTTGATGAACCTATTATATTTTACATTAGTTTATAAACTTCTCTTAATATTTCTGCTACGTTATTTTAATGTAAATGCAAAATTTCAAGGTTGGTAATTTAAGTGTACATTTTTTCTTGGTTGTACTAAATTTCGTAACTCGTTGGGCCTCATTTTCATGGTACGTATGACCTTAGTTACTCACACCCAACACCCATCACCATGCTGCCTTACAACCTAATAGCTGTGTTCCACAAAGAAAACCCAAAAAAAAAAGTACCCTAATGGCGTGCAAATTTTAAAAG